CTTATAGTACTGACAGATTACTTAATGTTTTCTTTAACAAAAATAAACTGAAATTTAAACAAATATGCCGTAAGTAAAATACAGAATATATCATTGTTAATATTAATGTAATGTAATCAATTTTGAGACAGAGAGAGAGAGAGAGAGAGAGAGAGAGAGAGAGAGAAAGTTTAATTTTTAATAAATAAATTAGACTTAGGCTATATTTGTTAAAATATTTTATATTTCTTTGAAACGGTCAGAATGAAGAACATTAAATTTGAACTACCTAAAAATATAGTTTAGGAAATTGCATGAAAGACATTGCTTTTTCCATTCATTGCCATTGACGCATTTCCAATAAAATGGAATGCAGAGAAACCTACAACTCGTCTTCGAATTCAAACTAGCGTTTAGTCAGGATCTCGAATTATCGGCAAAGTCGGCTTTAAATCACGGCTAATGCTCGAGATAACGAGCGAATAAGATAAACTCACCCTACGTGATTTCCTGATAAGCGCGTTCGACTACTAGCGGCCCGCTTAGGTGAGCGCGGCACGAGAATTCCGTTTAGAAGAGGTGAGAGAAGTGCCGCTCAAAGGACGCAAGAAGAACGGTGGCGCGCGTTCGCGAGAGGGGGGAGAGGGGGGGGAGGGGCGCAAACTTTGGTGCCTGGGATTCAAAGACAGCGAAGCGAGCCCCCGAGAAAGAGGGATAAATCTAGGGAGGGGCGGAGCCGAACCGGGCTGAATCCTAATTACGACGACCCAGAGGCACGTTAGACGTGACCCAGGACTAAACTCCGTTCTAAGGACTGAGCTAAGAGCCGAGCGACGGCTAGAGATACTTCCGCGGAGAGTGGGGGGAAAGGGGTTAAATGTTGCCGCCAGCAAAGGTGCCGTTGGATTCACCAGACAGGATTCGTAGGATGCGTCCATTTCGTCCTCGAAAACCTCCCCCGGGTGGCGTTCCCCTTCGTGGTAGAATTAACGCCTCAGCCTGATGGCCTTACTCTCAGCCGGTCGACTTCTAATGCGATCCGGAAACTTTTAGCTTGCTTATTCCGCCGCAGTGTGAAAAGCGTGCGACATGGTCGCCACCGCAACGCGAGAAACATTGCGAGAACTTTTCCGTCTGTAACTGTATCTCACTGTACCTCAACGCTTCCCCGCCCCCCCCCTCTCTCTCTCTCTCTCTCTCTCTCTTATCTCTCTTTACTTTCGAAGGGAGCGGTGAGCTTAATCTCGCTTCGAAAATTAATAAGCGCAAATTAATAAGCTTGCACCCCGTCTTCACGTGTCGTGTTATTTTGCCATTATCCCATTAGACATATTTGGATCAACATCAAAGTAGGATGCGCAGCCCGCATCTAACATCCGCGCAGCATCTAACATCTCCCGGAGGAGACCTTGAAACTTTGAACGCGAGTAGGTTCTGCCGGAAGGCTTCCGTCTGAAATTAGCACCCTCGAATAATTACGAGTTTAATGCCACGGCAGATATAGCCGCCGGGTCAAGTTACCGACGTACTGCCAGAGGCTCGACCTTTGCACTCAAGTGAGTGCACGAAGTGAATTGCTGGGGCGCGTCCATCCACTCCGTCCACCGAGGACCTCTTCGTACATAATCCTAAATTAAGCACAATTTCCTTCAGTAAGGAATAGCGCAGGCATGCACGCCGGTGAATAAACGGCAAACATCGCATCGCCTGACTGAATAATGTGTCTCGGATGTATCGTTCATAAAGTGCTTCTCTAAGATCTTTGATCCCACGCAGCAAACTTTATTATAACTGTGCATAGTTACGTAGAAACCATAATTGTTTGCCTTCCGGAATGTTTTTTATAAATTATTTGTGAGATAGAAATTAATTCTTTATTGGGATACTAAAATATATTTTCTTCAGATGTAGCTTAAAAATTAAAACTTAAACTTTAAAAATTTCAATTAAAAATTACTTTCTATATTCGATCAAGTTTTTTTAACAGAAAAAAAACATTTTACGATTAAATGTGCTTGCTAAAAATCTAATATTTATTTTTTAGCGCTATTATTTTCATTTGCATTAAAATTCATTGAATGAATTTGCGAAAATTCATTATTGAAAAAAAAAATGCTTAAATTTTTAATTTGCTCCATCGCTTTCTTATATAAATTTCTTCTATTCAATTTAGAAAAACGAATAATTACGAGTTTTTTTCTGTACATTCTGCACACTCATAATTATACTCGAGGATCGCAGCATGCGCAAAAAGAGCGAGATAATTGTGGATTGGCTCGTTGGATGCTACCGCAAATCTTGACGCATCCGCGTATCTTTATCATTATGACGTCGTAATTAACAGAGCCGAGTGCTTGAAAGTATCGCACGCAATTTGTTCTCATTAGCGAGAAAGCTTTTTGTTACCCAAGCTCGTTGCGGCCGCGAAGGTTTGCGCTTGGCAAATACCGTTTCGCGCGTTCAGCCGCATAAAATAATAGAGTCGCTAATATCGTCATCCTCGAAGCTTACGAAGGCCCAGTCGCGGTTAGCAATGCGCACACACACACACACATACACACGCACACACACACACATACATATGCGATAATTTAAAGTGGGCGCCATTTGCGCGTATTCTCGTACGTGCCTTCAAAAACGATAATACCCGTCGCGCTGCTCGAAGACTCCGTCGGTGCTTCGCGGTGAATTTCACTTGGCGGTAATAGGATCACGCGAAGATAAACTCCGGGATTAGGGGATTATCGAGTAACCTGCGTGCGTGCGGGCAGCCTTAATGGTATGCTAATTTGGTGCTAATTCTGAAGGGAAACAGCTAATAACTCAACGGCGCTCTAACCACGGAAGATTCCCCCGCCGGCGCGACTCCGATATAATTCCGCTAACTCGCGCTTGTCTCTTAGCGAATATGAACGGTAACACGTGTTACCCCTCCCACGACATCTCCCAAAGCGAGCTCATCGTTCGCGGTCGTTTGCTGAAAATGTTTCCGGTAGTTGCATCGAGCGGGCAAAGTTTTAGAGCTGCTAATTGAATTACAATTCGCGCATATCACGCCGTTCTCGTCGTTATCGTCGTCATCGTTGTCGTTGTCGTCGTCGTCGTCGTCGTCGTCGTCGTCATCTTACGTCGAAACTTGCGATTATAATCACATCGCAGAATTGAGATGCGGTATGGATACGTCGTGAATCCCGTGCCTTCGCTTAATGCCAGATAGCGTAATGCTTTAACCAAAACGCTGATACACATTTGGCAAGTAAATAAATTTACAACACACCATGACATTGTCACGTGAGCGATATCTCATGATCAGACTCGTATATTCATATATCTATATTTTGCGTTAGATATCTCGATATTAGATATTATAGCTTTTATTTTATATTAAAAGTTAATAACTGGAAATATATATATTTTTTTATACTGATTATTATAAAAACTATATTAAATATTATTATTAAAATTACATTTACTCATTATTTAAAAACGATTAGGATTATATTTCTTATTTCTTTTATGGATTATGGATTATGGAATTAAAAATTTCAATGTCCATGATGATATCCATCGTCGATTGAAGTGAAAGGCACAAAGGCACGATCGATGCGCCGGCGCAAAATAGAGGCGCAAAATACTCCGGCTTAAGTGTCGCTTATCATTTACGGCCTATAAGAAAGGAAGGCGGCGTGTTCGGAACCGCGCGAACATCCGTTTAATCTGCAATCTGCGGATCGGCTTTACCGGCAATAGTTTCACACTTTAGGGGTTTCGGTATGCAAATGCCAGCAAAGAAACACGCGCGGTATATCGGAGACTGGCCATTCGCCAGCTACTATCCCTCGCAGCCGCCAGCCATTGCGCCGGCGACGGTGTTACCGAAGTGCATTGCATATTGCGGGGGTTAAGCTGTGGAGAATCACGCTGAAAGGCAAAAGGAAAATACTCTCGTGAAAAATACTACTCTTTCACGAACGCGATTAAATTGCTCGTCAGATTTACATGAGGTTTTCTACCGTGCTTCGTAGAAATATCATTCTGGTTTATTTTATGTAAAGGTCTTTTATCACAATGGCTTAAATTAAGTTTTTTACACGAATTATTCTAAGAAAATATAAAATTTTAAAAAGAAAAAGAAAATATGGAATACAAAGAGAAAAAAATTAATGATTAATATTTTTAAAGATAGATTAATTTAAATAAAATTATCTGCGATTTATAATAAAATAATCATCTAATATATCTATTGATATTAATTTATTTTTTTCGTTATATAATTATTTTGTATTATATGACATTTATTACAAAAATTAACGATTATTTATATATCTGTTTAATTTTGAACATTTTTGTTTTATGTTAATTTACTTATGGAGATTATCTCCAGCTATAGTTATCGTATTAAAATGACCAATGCATTTTAGAGGACATTATGTTTACCTTTTATTATAGATAAGACGAAAATTGAATGATGCATCAAAAGGGTGAAGACTTTCCTGTCGAGAATTAGACGGAACTCCTTGGAGATTGCATCGATCGCGTGAAGGACGTTAAACGCATCGTGCGAGCGCGAAATATCTAACAGTTCATGCTCTTAGCTTAACGCTGTGTAATTATTATAGTTTCGCAATACGTTACAAGGCGGCGATAAGAATCGGGGTTGCTACGTGCCGGCGGCAACACGCCGCACGATAATACGCTCAACGCGAGTTGAAATTCAAGAACGGCCTGTGGTTTTCCGGGTAGAGTATACACGGCTACATGTGTGAGAGGGTCTTAAAACGTCTACACCGAACCGTTGTTTAAGTTAGGAAAACGGGAGTCTTTTAAGAAAAAAAGGCTGATGCATCTCACGCGATAAAGTGCCGCGTGGGGGGAGGGGGGGGCGTTTGCGTGTTATGACGTTGAATTTTCTTTTTCAAGCGCAAATATCTTTCGATTACACTCGACAATTTTCAATATATACGACAGATATATTCCTACGATGTGCTTGTTTTAACTTTACGATATTTATTCTGTTGCAGGTGAGTGTCAAAAAACGTTGCTGCAGGAGGAGCCGTGAAAGTACATATCTGGTAATAAAAATACTATATTAATTATAGTAGATAATTAATATTTGTTAATTTTGATAAAATGTAATTGCTTAGAAATCGCAAGTTGGTTTTAAATTATTATTTATAATATTAATAATGTTATAATTTGCGCAAAATAAATTTGTTCGCACTGAAAAGATATTATTGCTTACTTGCTATTGCGAAACATTTTAGCGCCAATGAACTGTCGGTAGTCTTAGGATCGATAGAGGAAAGGTCGCAGAACTCACGTAATTTCTTCAAGTTGGCACGGTATTATGAATTATCTACTTTAATGTTTTGTGCAGCCGCTTCCATGATGCCTCGTGCGACTAATAATTTCGAGCGACTATAGTCACAAGCGATGACTCACGGACTATCGTAGCTCGCACGATGAATCGAGAAAACGTAGCGAGTGGCGAGTAAAATTAAATTAACCACGGGCAACGTGATATATCCCCCTCGTGACTTTATAATATTAGATTTTTATAACCAGTTTTTCATTTGGTTGATAGATAGGTAAAAAGAAAGGTCGATCTCATGTCAATTATCGGGGCGATCTTAATCAAGGCCTGTCTAGCTGCAAGCGTTTTAATTCACTGGACAGCGACTTCTCCGATATAATGGAACTATATTATTCATTTTTGTGGTAATGGGATAGATAATTACCGGTGACACGAGACGAGAGAGAGTTTGCCTCTCGAAGCGGGCTCGATCGTGTAGCTCAGAAAATAGAAAGGCTGTTAGAAGGATTATGCAAAAAGAGATATAATAGTAAGATATATAGTCATAAAATGTTAAATCGCGAAAAGAAATAATTTGCGTCCCGGCAAGGCAGTGGAAAACTTGGCGGATTTTTAATTACTACACGTTAGATTCATTTAGAAGCCATTCGCAGGTATACCGCAAGCTCTCGCATTCCATTAACGGATAATATCGAATGACTAGGCGAGTGGCTACGTACTCTCAACTGGTAATTTCATAATGGCGTTTCGTTTAATCGAAATTCCCAGAAATAATATGAAAAGAGATTGATTTCCTTCTCTTTCTTTTATTTTATTTTCTTCATTTGTACGCTCGAAGCTCTCAATGTACGCTTGGCTTGAATTCTTTTCTCATCAAGTGCGCGCTTTGCAACATTAAACGCGATTTGGTAGCGGCGAATAACGTGGCATTAGCGCAATTTAATTTAATTTATTGCGACGCATTTTACGGGGGATAAAAAATGACAGGCCGACACATTTAATGTAACCGGCAATGAGAACGTACCGGTATATTTTTCTTCATATCGCACTCAAGCCAGAAGTAATCTCCGCTATTCGGCTATTTGGGTATTTCAACCGCACAGTTCCAATCTTTTATTCTAGAAATTATATAAATTTGATTTGCGGACAATAAAAGTATTGCTATTAGGACATGCAATCTGCTGGATTTTTGCAAAATAAAATCCGCGAGACAATTTTGATAATGTTACTTCCATTAAAAGAATTGTGACACATTTTTAATCGTATCACATATTAAAAGAGTTTGATTAATTGAGAATTGTTTTGCATTCAGATAAGTTGTGTAGTTTTTTCCTTTTTCTCGCTGTTCGATCTGTTTAAACGTTTTTAAATGTACGAGCTAAATTTGTCATGGAAACTAGGTGTTCGTATTAACTCGCTAAACCGGAATATCTTCGCGCGGATCTTCGTTGCGAGAACAAATCTCAGAGAATCAAGTCTCGAGAAGACCAAGCCGACGTTAATTCCGCACGGTGCCGCATTAACGTCAAACTTTGGCGACGCGCGGACGTCTTGCGCAAACTTATAATAATAATTATCATTATTATGACGTCGTTCAACAGCGTTCCTGCGAAGCGCAAAGTCTGCCTTACAGCCTCCGAGGATTTGACGTTCGCGAAACAGTCGAGCCGGTTGAAATCGGCGAACGACGACGACGGTCGCTTCGTAACGAGTTGTCTTGAAGTTTCTCGACGAGAGGGCAAATCGTTCGCGCGCGCCGTTTGGGTGAATCCGTCAGGCAAGGCGAACCAAAAGAAAGATCCTCCCCTTGTTAAATTCAACCCTCGACGACTGTCTATTTTAAAAAGTAAAATAAATTTGAGTTGCGCGATCTCGCGCAATGCCTATGTAAAATATGCAAAATATGTCTATCTTTGTCTTATTGTTAAAAAATATAAGATATTTATTTTTATGAATCACGAAATATCATTTTGTTCGTATATGATTCGCATATGTTTATTCGTATCAGCATGAAAAATCTAAAATTTAAGATAGAATATGATAAGATAACATTTTCAGCATTGTAGATTTTATTCGATTGTGCTAATGATAATATTCGTCATAATAATGTATGGAGTTCCCTTATGTTATCAATTGATTATGCTATTTCAATGGCATTAGGTAAATGGATTTTGTTGTGATAAATGATGGCAAGAGGAAAGCTAAAATAACAAAATAACTTAGAGAGGGCACAACATTTACACGAAAAATTCAAGAGTTGGAACAATCAGAATCTGTCGACATCAAAGTAAAATGCGACACTTTCGAATGCGAGAATAATCGACTTCGAAATGATGCCGACATACGGAAAACTTTCTTGCTGCGCTCAACATAAAATTGGATTGTATTTCAAGTATGTCAACGCTCTGAGAAGCCTTGCAAGCTGTAATGGAATTCCTATTTATTCTAACGATCGACAAATTCACGTATTAATTTGAGAAAATCAATTATATTATATAATCTTTAGTTATTTTATATGCTGTATATAATTTCAAAAACTATATAACATAATTTCTGCTATAAACTATGAAAATTAAATTTTTTTGTATTTTGCTCTAATATTACGTAATTATTAAAAGAGAAGAGAACAACTGGATTTTATATAATTACAAATATTGCAGATTACACATTAACAATGTTAAGCGAGCAAATTAAATTTTTTCCTTTTCTCTTTTCATTGCAATTGCAATTTAATTTACGAAGCAAATTATATATATCTAATTATTCCTATTGAAAAACTTAATTGAAACTCATCTTGAAACATGCTCTGCTTTAATAGATGGACCTTCAGAATTGTGATTTGATTAAGGAAAAAATTATTTTTTATAAACAATTTTTTATTAAAACAATTTTTTAAAATAATATTTGATAATTTTTTAAAATGAAATAATTAATATATTAATTCATTAAAATTATTATTAAGAGAATTATTAAAATAATTCTTGCGTTATGATCACATTAAAATTTACTATTAATATTGTAGTAAATATATATATATTAAGCAGATTAAAGCAAATGTTAGATTTAATTAAAATTTAAGTAATTTAAGTATTTAAATAAAAGTAAGTAAGTAAGATATTTTCACTCTCAATCAAACAGTTTTTCAATCGAACAAAATTAATCGTCAACGCTAATAAGTTTATAAAATAAATTGTACATTATTTCATAACATATTTCATAACTCATTTAATTAATTTGAAATACAAAGAACAGAATATTTGGTATAATATTATTTTATATAGAGCATTAAAATTTTGTTATGATTAAACATTTTGTAACGATAATATTTGATGATAACAGTTGTAAATGTTATTTTTTTACCATTGTTCTAGGATTAAGCAATTTATGATTTGCAATGTTATACGAGTTGATTCAAAGAACGTATTTTAAATTTATTTTGTTGTATATTAAATATTTCTTTATAATTTGATGACTCTTACAACATACAATCAGTTACTATAAATATGCACTTATTTTGTTTATATTTGCGTGATAATACTCAAACCGGCAGCGCTCTGTACATTGTGATATTGCCATTCAAAACATGATTGTGACAAGAGGTCCAAGCACGACTGTCATCCGTGTTTATTAACATTATCAAATATCAGATTGAGAATGTAGTTAATTTCGTGATTGACAATTCATAAACAATAATCCGGATAATGGTTACTCAAAATAAATATTTCACATTATATTTCTCTGTGGTAAAATATGTGTCGTGTACGATTAATGATGAAAGTCATGCAAAATATCATGCGATTATCTTAATATTGATAATTAATAAGTAGCTAATCGTTTTTCTCGCGAACGAGTATTGAATGTTGGAATGGAAAGGGAGGAGGCCTAGATGGACATCGACCGATAGCGAAGCGATAGATTAGTAAATCATTGTCATTTTTCCATTTTTTTTTTCGTAACTCTTAAATCTTTTATATTTTAAG